TCAGTGGTAGAGCGCTTGCCTTGCATGCCTGAGGCCCTGGGTTTGATTCCTCAGCACCACATAAGCAAAAAGAAAAAAGAAAGCCGGAAGTGGTGCTGTGGCTCAAGTGGTAGAACGCTAGCCTTGAGCTGAAGAGCTGAGGGACAGCACCCAGGCCCAGAGTTCAGGCCCCACAAAAATAAAAAGACCATTTAAAAAGAAAAAGATGACAGTGTGCCCAGCTATGAGCCCCCTACTAGTGACTCTCATTTATTGCCTCGTCTGTCCCCCCAATGAACAGGGGAATCCTCAGTCCTCTCTTTTCTTTGTCCCAGAGAAAAAAACAAAGACTATGTGGTGGTGTGGTATTTGGGGGTTCCAGTTAGTGTGTTCTTGTCATTGAAATTATTGCCTTGGTAATTAGAATAAAAGAAATGAAGTGTTTTGAATGTTTTTTTCTTTTTTTTTTTTCCTTCTGCTTGTGGTGCTGAAGAATCGAATCCAGGGCCTCATGCATGCAAGGCAAGCACTCTACCTCTGAGCTACCTTTCCAGCCCTGTCTTTTTTTTTTTTTAGTCAATCATGGGGCTTGAACTCAGGGCCTGCACCATTTCTGTTTCCCGGTGGTTAATTAGAGATAAGAGTCTCATGGACTTTCCTGCCCAGGCTGGCTTCAAACCTTGATCCTTAGACTACAGCCTCCTGAGTAGCTAGGATTACAGGCATGAGGCACCAGCAGCAGGCTTGGATGTTTTTTTCTTTGTTGGATATGGTACTTAGGTTTGAAATTAGGGCTTCACACTTGCTAGGCTGGCACTCTACCACTTGAGCCACTTTTCCCAGCCCCCAAACAAAGTTTTGGTAGTGTTCTAACATGGATGGTTGATCAGAAGCTAGGTGTTGTTCTACTGTAATCCCTGTGGGAAAGGTAAGGCAATTAAGTTTGAGGCCAACTTGAACTAGAAGGAGACCCCATCTCAAAAACAAACCACTATGAACAAACTCGCTAAAATAGGCATAATTAACACCTGCCTGGAGTCCCAGTTGCTCCAGAGTCTAAGATGAGAGGATCACTCGAGCCGAGAAATTCGAGATCATCCTGGTCAACATAGTGAGAACCTGTCTCAAAAACAAAGTAATTCAAAAAGAGAGCTTGCTAAGTGAAAGAAACCAGACACAAACGACCACATATTTTATTATTCCATTTACATTAAACAGACACAATGTTCAAATCTAAAAAGGGGTTACTTAGGGGGGTAAAAGAGGGTGACTGCTTCAAGATTTCTTTTTTTCAGGGCATGTGCACTTGTGCAAGCACATCCTTGGCCTTGAATTTTTTTTATTTTTGTGCCGGTCCTGGGCCTTGAACTCAGGGCCTGGTCTCTGTCCCTGAGCCTCTCTATGCTCAAGACTAGAGCTCTACCAATTGAGCCACAGCACCACTTCTGGCTATTTTCTGTGTATGTGGTACTGAGGAATCCAACCCAGGGCTTCATGCTAGGCAAGCACTCTACCACTAAGCCACATTCCCAGCCTTGGCCTTGAACTCTTGTTTTGTCTGTTTCCTTTTTATTTTTTGTTGGTCGTGAGGCTTGAACTCTGGGCCTAGGTGCCATCCCTCAGCTCCTCGGCTCAAGGCAAGCACTCTACCACTTGAGCCACAGCGCCACTTTCAGCTTTCTGAGTGGTTTATTGGAGATAAGAGTCTCATGGACTTTCCTGCCCTGGCTGGCTTTGAACCATGATTCTCAGGTCTCAGCTAGGATTACAGGCGTGAGCCACCAGTGCCCAGCCTGGCTTATTCCTTTAAGTCTAGCACTCTCATAGAAAAAGTGAGTGCCCAAGCCCTGAGTTCAAACCCCAGGACTGGCAAAAAGGTTCAAAGGCAGCCTGGGCAGAAAAGTCCATGAGACTCTTACCTCCAATGAACCACTCAAAAACCAGAAGTGGCACTATGGTTCAAAATAGTAGAGCAGTAGCCTTTAGCAAAAGAGCTCAGGGACAGCTCCAGGCTCTGAGTTCAAGCCCCACAACTGAAAAAAAATTAAAAAAATAAAAAAAGGTCTTATGGACTTTCCTGCCTGGGCTGGCTTCAAACCTCAATTCTCAGATCTCAGCCTCCTGAGTAGCTAGGATTATAGGTGTGAGCCACCAGTGCCTGACCTCAACTCTGAATATTCTAATGTGCAAAAAATTATCAACTTGACAGAGGTGAACAGTTTTGTTTATAAAGCAAACCAGGGGGTCAATTTGCCATATGGCACGCGCGCGCACACACACACACACACACACACACACACACACACACCCCTCTCCCTCATGAGTGTGTGAAAATTACCACGTCGTTGGCGGGCTAGCCAGCCCCTTCGTCGAGTTCTGGGTGGTTGCTTATAAGGTAGGGGGAACACAGGAATGTCCTCCACGTAGACTTCCTCCAGCTCCGAATCTGTACTGTCTGGGAGCCAGGACATGGAGGAATGGAAAGAGGCTTTTGGAGTGCCCCTGGGGAAAGAAAGACTGGAGACTGGAATTACTGGGTGAGGTGGGGATTCAGGATCTAAACTCCTTGGTGTTAGAGAAGAAGAGCTGGGATCCTCAACTCCTGAGTCCTCTGGAGAGCAAGGATCTGGGGCTCCGCCTCCTGGGTTCAAAAGGCCCAGGATCTCGAGGTTACCTGTATGTGTCTGGGATGCCAGCAGGCCACCATCTCCGCTGCAATCTCCACCACCACTCACGGTGCCAGGGGCACGATGGGCACCAGAGGCCAGATGCGCCTCTGGCACGCTCTCCTGAAGAAAAGGGTTTCCAAAACCTGGGAGATGGTGTAGCAAAACCCATTAAAATGATCTCCAGGTTGGAGCACCCCTCGCTCCCCCTCCACTGCAGCCCAAAGAACTCTATCCTAATGCTCAAATCAGCACAATTTGGCTGCTACCCTGCTGAGAATCCCCTGTCTGCAGGACCCTGAGATCTCATGCCAGGGCTAGGAATGGAGCTCAGCGGAAGAGCATGCTTAAGGCCCCGGGTTCACTCCCCAGCACTGCATATAATCCCAGGGCAGGTTCTTGTGGTCAGTCACTCTAGGACTAAATCTCTTAAATTACTAAAGCTGGAAATCTTGTTACCTAACTGCCTGGGGGACTCACCCTAGACCTGGGCCTGCTTACTCTCAGCGCTCTGAAGGCTCTCCCAGGCTCTGCCCGTGGAGCCCAATCACCAGATGACTTTGCCCTTGTTACAAACCATGTCCCTGCCCATGCCCTGGGAGTCTCCACATCTCACGTGCCTGGCTTTTTTTTTTTGGGCCAATCCTGGGGCTTGAACTCAGGGCCTGGGCGCTGTCCCTGAGCTAGTGCTATGCCACTTGAGCCACAGTGCCACGTCAGGCTTTTTCTGAACAGTTTATTGGAGATAAGAGTCTCTAGGCCTTTTGTGCCCGGGCTGGCTCCTCAGATCTCAGCCTCCAGAGGCTGAGCCACTTGCCCCCACAGTTTGTAGTAGTAGTAGTTGTTTTTGTCAGTGCTACCTGGGGCTTGAACTCAGGGCCTGGGCGCTGTCCCAGTGCTAGTACTCTGCCACTTGAGCCACAGAGCCATTTCTGGCTTTTTCTGTATATGTGGTAACTGAGGAATTGAACTCAGGGCTTTATGCATGCTAACAAGCACTCTACCACTAAGCCACATTCCCAGTCCTGTTTTTTTGTTTTTGTTTTTAATCTTTTCTCTTTTTTTTGTACTGGGGACCGAACCCAGGAGGTTGCACTTGCTAGACAAGTGCTTTGCCGCAAGACAGAAGACAGCTCTCAGTCCTTGTCCCAGACCCTGCCCCATCCATTATGGACTCCATCAGGCCCCACCCCCTTCCACTCCACTAGGCCCCGCCCCATTATTTACAAGACCCCGCCCAGGCTCCACCAGGCCCCGCCCCTGCCCCATAAGACCCCGCCCTCGTCCCGCCAGGCCCCACCCCCTCGACTCCACTAGGTCCCGCCCCCCGGCTGGTCCAAATCCCCCAGGCTGGGAGATTTTCCACACCGCTGTCACCCTGGAAACGCTCCTCCCATCGCCGCAGCCGCGGGTGCCGCAGCAAAGAATCAGGATTGGCCTGAACCATGAGAGGTTCCTGGCGCTTCCGTCGTCGCTTCTTCTCAAATAGAAGCCGCTGTAGGAGCAGGAAAGGGAGTGTGTGGGGACCAGGAACCGGAGGGGAAGACAGGGGTGAAGTGGGAGAGTCCGGGAGGCCCTTTTTCCACCGGGTCCCCGCTGGTGCCTCAGCCCTCGCGTCCTTCTCCTGCCTCAGACCCATGAGCCCTAGAGCCCAGCCACCTGCTCCCCCAGAAACTAGGGTCCTACCCAGTTCTGAGGATCCCCCATTCATTAAAATTTTGAGGGTCTCATCATGAGGATTTCTCCTTAATAGCTCAAATTCCTGTTGGTCATCTCTGCGTTTGAGAACTTGAAGTCCAGAGAGAAGAAACAACAGCACTGGAGACCCTGCGCCAGTCCTGGGGATGGGTTTTCTGGGTAGGTTTGAAAGATATGAAAGGATCGGGAAGGCAAGATTCCTGGGCACGGTACCTACCTGCTGTTCTAGCTTCTGTAGCCTCATGGCAGCGATCTCATCGCCCAAGGTCCTGGGACAAAGACAGGCCGGTAGTGACAGCAAGAAGGACATCTTGCTAGCCCAAGAGCTTTCTCCTCCCCTCCTGTCTCCGCCCAACTTGGTTTCTTAGACCAAGTGAGGTCACAGAGGGGAAGAACCCTCTCTGGTTTTGATGTCACTGCCCCAACACTGGCCATTCTAGAATCTAAGTAGAGGTCAGTGGGGCAGTGGTTCATGCCTGTAGTTTCTAACACAGAGATTGGAGATTAGGAAAATTAAAATTGGGGGCCAGGCTGGACAAAAATTCATCAAGGCCTCATCTTAATAAACATGCCCAGCATGGTAGGGTGTGTACCAGTCATCCCAATAGAGTGGGAGGCATAAGTAGGAGGATCAAATTCTAAGGTTGGCTGTGAGCAAAACGCCATGACTGTACCTGAAAAAAAATACCTAAAGCAAAAAGGGATGGAAATAGAGCTCAAGTGGTAGAAACTCTCTAGCAAGCAGGAGACCTTGAATTCAAACCTCAGTACTGACAAAAGAAAAAAGGAATCCAAGTAGAGATCACAGGTCCTTGTCTGACAGCCAGTCACCAATCAAACTCCTCTCCCTGTAGGGTCCAGAAGTTGGGGTCCCCCAGCATTTTCCTGCAAAGCTGAAGTTGCTAAGCCTATAAGTGTTCATGATATCAATGCTAAGTGTAGCCAGGCACTGGTGGCTCACACCTGTAATCCTAGCTATTTGGGAGGCTGAGAACTGAGGATCGTGTTTCACAACCAACCTTGGCAGGAAAGTCTGTGAGGACTTATCTCCAATTAACCACTAAAATCCCATAAGTGGAAGTGTGGTTTAAATGGTAGAGCAGGCCCTGAGTTCAAGCTCCAAGACCAGCGCGTGCGCGTGCGTGCGTGTGCACACACACACACACACACACACACACACACAGCTAAGGGGTCATAACACACCATCAAGTTTTAAGTTCTCCCAATCCTCCCTCCACCACTGCCCATTTGACTTTCCCACTCACTCTTTCTTCAATGCGTCATTCTCCTGAGACATTCTGGAAAACCAAGAGAGTAGTCAGGATCCAGACCTAATGTCCCCATTACAGCTGCCCTCCAACACTGAATCCCAAATATTCATTGTTCCCCTGCACCAAAGCAGCCCAAACACTCTGCCCACTTTCTGGATTTTATCACTAGTAGTAAGGCCAGAAATGTCCACCCTAACCAAGTCCCTGTATCTCTCCTGCATCCATACTGAAACTCAGGGCTCTTGGCTCCAAACCCCAGACCCCTCCCCGCATTCTCCTGCCTGGGATCCTGGAGATGCCCTTCCCTCCCCTTGAAGGGTTACTAATGCTCAACCCTCTGTGGCCAAACTCTAAACATACCTGACCCTCTCTTCTGGACCTGAGGACCAAATCTCTGGGTCTGAAAAGTAGGCTGGAAAAGATAAGGGCTGGGAGAGAAGTGGGAGTCCCACTAGGGGCTTGCCCTAGTCCAGGCCCTACTGGCCTCTCAAGATTCCTCTTCCAGCAAACAATGCTGGCCACCGAGGCGAGGCGGCCTGGCAACAGCTTCCCAGGGGTTCCAAATTGGAATTGGAAATGCCTGTGGATGTTTCTTAAAGGGACCCACAAGAGGGCAGCTGGGTATTTGTGACTATCTACATTTTTTTTTTTTTTTTGTCGGTCGTGGGGCTTGAACTCTGGGCTTGGGTGCTGTTCCTGCACTCTTCAGCTCAAGGAGAGCGCTCTACCACTTGAGCCA